CACCCTAACACTATTTAACATTTTCTACACACATTAATTACATGTACACAAAGCTACACAAAAGCGGGATAGGCCCATTAGACTTGCATACATAATCAACCAGCTAGGCAACTAAAAGCCATTACGCTGCAGACAACATGTAGACCAAGGCCGACTAAAATCAGACCATTGAAATTGTTTATTTTAAATTGCATGATTATATAAGCATGTTGGCGCATAGTGTTCTTTCAGACATATTTTCCAGTGAGGTGGTAGGGGGGGGGGGGACACTTGAAACTTTAGTGAGGGGAACAAACACTGATTAAAGTAAATATTTTCTCTATATATCAATTATCTATTTTTTTTTTATTTCCTTCGGGTAACAAACTAGGTTCAGTTCTCTACCCACCCCCCATACCCCACCCACACCTTTCCTGTTGGTCTGCCCAACAATCATACACTAACCATGCCCAGGCCAAAAGTGTGTGATTGTTGGACGTGGTCAGTGTGTGATTGTTGGACATGGTCAGTGTGTGATTGTTGGACGTGGTCAGTGTGTGATTTTTGGACGTGGTCAGTGTGTGATTGTTGGACGTGGTCAGTGTGTGATTGTTGGGCGTGGTCAGTGTGTGATTGTTGGGCGTGGTCAGTGTGTGATTGTTGGACGTGGTCAGTGTGTGATTGTTGGGCGTGGTCAGTGTGTGATTGTTGGGCGTGGTCAGTGTGTGATTGTTGGACATGGTCAGTGTGTGATTGTTGGACGTGGTCAGTGTGTGATTTTTGGACGTGGTCAGTGTGTGATTGTTGGACGTGGTCAGTGTGTGATTGTTGGGCGTGGTCAGTGTGTGATTGTTGGGCGTGGTCAGTGTGTGATTGTTGGACGTGGTCAGTGTGTGATTGTTGGACGTGGTCAGTGTGTGATTTTTGGACGTGGTCAGTGTGTGATTGTTGGACGTGGTCAGTGTGTGATTGTTGGGCGTGGTCAGTGTGTGATTGTTGGACGTGGTCAGTGTGTGATTGTTGGACGTGGTCAATGTGTGATTATGGTCAATGTGTGATTGTTGGACGTGGTCAGTGTGTGATTGTTGGACGTGGTCAGTGTGTGATTGTTGGTCAGTGTGTGATTGTTGGACGTGGTCAGTGTGTGATTGTTGGACGTGGTCAGTGTGTGATTGTTGGACGTGGTGAGTGTGTGATTGTTGGACGTGGTCAGTGTGTGATTGTTGGACCTGGTCAGTGTGTGATTGTTGGACGTGGTCAGTGTGTGATTGTTGGACGTGGTCAGTGTGTGATTGTTGGACGTGCTCAGTGTGTGATTGTTGGACGTGCTCAATGTGTGATTGTTGGACGTGGTCAGTGTGTGATTGTTGGACGTGCTCAGTGTGTGATTGTTGGCCTGTCGTCACATGTTTATGATTGTATTCCTTCACTGCCCTCCCCCGTTAATCACAGTGTGGCCTAAACAAATGTTGGCTATGCTAATCACCTCCCTTGACGGTACTATGTCGCAATACTAACTCGCACCCCGCCCCTCCCCTAGACTACACAACTTGATTCTACCGTCGTTCAGATCATCCCTGGTCTCTCACGGCCTTGTGACCTCACCAATTTGACGTCATCCTGACACCGGACCTGTACTTACCCAGCACGTTTATCTACATCAACACACTCACAACTTCCGGATACGAAATGGTTGTGACGTCATTATCATCCCCCCCCCCCTGTAGCGTCAAGTGGCTTGCTCATCCCAGTCGGTTTCTTTCTTGTGGTGGCGATACACTACAGTAGGAGTGTCTTACAATAGGTAGTCGTGTCACACACCTCTAAAGTAGCACCCCTTCCAAAGGTAAACATCTCTCTTACTAGAGCCAGTGTGTCACCCACAACCTCTAGTGCCTAATCTATACTTAGATACACATACCCTTCCCTCTCCTAGACATTTACATTTTACAATCAGGGTTTCTTTTAGACATTGTTCTCCTTTGCACTTAGAGATGAGGAAGAGTGTCAGACATTGGTTAAAGCATCTATTTTCTACATAAACTATATGATTTTTTCTATTGGTCCAGTGGGAGGGGAACTGCTCCCCAGAGAGATGCATGAAAGAAACGGCTTAAAATACAATCAGTTGAATCCACAAAACTTAATTTCTTTTAGACACTTCAAGACAGCAATCCCTAGACAACTTAAAGCTACCCTAAGATAGCTTTTGATTGCATCTACACCTTACATGACCTTACTCCATAGCACATCTAGACCTTACATGACCTTACCCCATAGCACATCTAGACCTACATGGCCTCACTCCATAGCACATCTAGACCTTACATGACCTTACTCCATAGCACATCTAGACCTACATGACCTTACACCATAGCACATCTAGACCTACATGACCTTACTCCATAGCACATCTAGACCTACATGACCTAACTCCATAGCACATCTACACCTACATGACCTTACACCATAGCACATCTAGACCTACATGACCTTACCTCTATAGCACTATACCTACATGACCTTACTCCATAGCACATCTAGACCTACATGACCTTACTCTATAGCACATCTAGACCTACATGACCTTACTCCATAGCACATCTAGACTTACATGGCCAACCAAATCAACTTACCAACCAACTCACCATCAATCACTTTAAAGAACTTATCAACAATGAAAATACACACAGTTGCTTCATAAATCTTGATCCACCCTAAGAATAGCCTGAACCTTCTACCTTTCAAATCTTGTTCTAAAAATAAACAGCCCAAAAATAAACTCAACAAAGTTTAACAGGGTCAAAAACTTGTGTCTGATTCAATTCATTTTTTATTCTAATTTTTAATTAGAGAACAGAAGCTCAAAGTAGACTTTGTAGATCTTAGGGCAGGTTGTGATTGTGTTTAACTAGGTGTTTAAAAGTGTTCAGGAGCTAGGTGTTTAAAAGTGTTCAGGAAATAGGTGTTTGAAAGTGTTTACAAACCTGTAATGTGAGAGTTTTTGTATCTCATTATAGATTTGGTCTCTGGTTATCTATGTTAATGTAGGCTTTAATTTCTATGAAGGATTGTAATTGTATCCTATGATACAATAGCAGGCTGGTGTCAGATAAGTATTGGATAAGTCCACTAGCCCTGGTCAAAGTTTTTAAATCCAATCAGTTGATTTACCACAAGCAGCTCTTGTGCTGTGCTCAATGATTTGTGTCATGTGACCACATGTTACCTCACCATGTTACCTCACCACCTGGGATGTAAATGAGGTGGACCTGGTTCATTACATTCTGCTGGTATGTGGGTTGTAACAACTCTCTCCAGGGTGGGGACTGTTTCAGGCACAGCTTTAGCTGGGGGGTGGGGACTGTTGCATTGTTGGGTTTCAGGCACAGCTTTAGCTGGGGGGTGGGGACTGTTGCATTGTTGGGTTTCAGGCACACGTTTAGCTAGGTTTACTCTCTCATTTGTCAGTTTTTGACATCAGGACATTCTAGTTTTGTGGACAGGTGGTTTCCTTTTTTAAACCGTTGTAGTATTTAGTTTGTTAGAGTGCTACTTTCTTTAGAGTGTTAAAACATATTAATATATTAAATTCTAAACCTAAAAGTTGTTAATGTGCTACGTTGTTTAAAGTATTAAAACATTTAGATAAATTAAAATCTAAACTAAAGGTTGCTGTTTACTCTATGAGATCATTAAACTTTTTTTCTGAAAACAATTTTCCACTTAGTGTAGCATGTGCAATCTCTTTGCACACATGTTTTAGACATATGTTGTATCCTGTGATATAGTCACGTGTTGTATCCTGTGATTTAGTCATGTGTTGTATCCTGTGATTTAGTCATGTGTTGTATCCTGTGATTTAGTCACGTGTTGTATCCTGTGATTTAGTCATGTATCCTGTGATTTAGTCATGTTGTATCCTGTGTTTTAATCATGTAGTGTCTGCCGTGATTTAGTCACGTGTTGTATCCTGTGATTTAGACATGTGTTGTATCCTGTGATTTAGTCACGTGTTGTATCCTGTGTTTTAGTCATGTGTTGTATCCTGTGTTTTAGTCATGTGTTGTATCCTGTGATTTAGTCATGTGTTGTATCCTGTGATTTAGTCACGTGTTGTATCCTGTGATTTAGTCATGTATCCTGTGATTTAGTCATGTTGTATCCTGTGTTTTAATCATGTAGTGTCTGCCGTGATTTAGTCACGTGTTGTATCCTGTGATTTAGACATGTGTTGTATCCTGTGATTTAGACATGTGTTGTATCCTGTGATTTAGTCACGTGTTGTATCCTGTGATTTAGTCACGTGTTGTATCCTGTGATTTAGTCATGTGTTGTATCCTGTGATTTAGTCACGTGTTGTATCCTGTGATTTAGTCACGTGTTGTATCCTGTGATTTAGTCATGTGTTGTATCCTGTGATTTAGTCATGTGTTGTATCCTGTGATTTAGTCATGTGTTGTATCCTGTGATTTAGTCATGTTGTATCCTGTGTTTTAATCATGTAGTGTCTGCCGTGATTTAGTCATGTGTTGTACCCTGTGATTTAGTCATGTGTTGTACCCTGCTATTTAGTCATGTGATTTAGTCATGTGTTGTACCCTGTGATTTAGTCATATGTGGTCAGCTGTTGTTTTTGTCCTTATTGTGGGAATATCCTGTTATGGAAAGTGTGAACTTTGTCACTAGCATTGGGCTATTTTTAGACTTGTTAATGAGATGTGTAACTTAGCTGGAGACATGAGTCACTCAGTTTTCTAATATAGGTCATTTACCTTTTTACTTGGGTCACTTGCATTTAAACTTGGGTCACTCACCTTTTTACTTGCCTCTCTACAGGGTTACAGGTGTTTTGATTGTGTTAAAATATTTCAACAAAGATGTTGGATGTATTGAATTATTATAACAAATATCATATAACAAAGATATTGTTGTTATAAGTTTTGTAACAAAGGTGTTGGTTAACGTTAAAAAAAAAAAGATGTGTATGAAGCCTGATGAATTCTGTCTTGTAATTTCAGAGCTTAGCAAGCAGGTGAACAAATCAAAATGGGTTTCTTCTCAGGGTGCGCGCGCATGCTGTTGATTATCTTCAACTTAATCTTCTGGGTGAGTACTGTCTTGTGACCCTGTTTAGATATTCACACGAACCTGTTTAGATATTCACACAACTGTTTAGATATTCACACAACTGTTTAGATATTCACACAACTGTTTAGATATTCACACGACCCTGTTTAGATATTCACACAACGACACTGTTTAGATATTCACACGACCCCGTTTAGATATTCACACGACCCTGTTTAGATATTCACACAACGACACTGTTTAGATATTCACACGACCCTGTTTAGATATTCACACGACCCTGTATAGATATTCACACAACTCTGTTTAGATATTCACACAACAACTCTATTTATATATTCACACAACTCAGCTTAGATATTCACACAATTACCCTGTTTAGATATTCACACAACTGGCTGATTAGTTTATTTGCAGCATCCTGATAACGTTACACTTTTTAACTGTGCTATGAACGCTGTGGTACACATAGGATGTGTGATTCATTTGCTTATAGAGTGGATTGGAAACAGTTGAAACAAATTATTCCCAGTGTGATCCAATCACTTAGGCATCCCTGCTTCAGTTGCTTGTGACCTCTGAACTTGAAGTTGGCTTGTGATTTGGGTTGTGTCTAGTCTGATTATCTCCCCTCGTGATAGTCTATGAGCTCATTTGAAAGCTGCATATTTGAAAGATAACGCTGAAACATCATCACTTTACAAGAAAATTTAGGAGCTAACACTGAAACATCATCACATTACAAGAAAATTGAGGAGCTAACACTGAAACATCACATTACAAGAAAATTTAGGGGCTAACAATAAAACATCACATTACAAGAAAATGTAGGAGCTAACACTGAAACATCATCACATTACAAGAAAATTTAGGAGCTAACACTGAAACATCAGTTAAATAGAGAAAAGTAATAGGTGCAAGCCCTAAATAAAACACATTCATGCAAAGCCTTAATACAACACTCATACAGAGCCGTAATACAACACTCATACAAAGCTGTAATACAACATTCATACAAAGCCGTAATACAACACTCATACGAAGCCGTAATACAACACATCCATCCCACCCATCAAACAATATGACAGCTAAAGCTACCCTGCCCATCAAACATAACACCAGCCTGTATTTTACAGCTCTAACTGAGCTTAACCCTTTTGTTACATATTCATACAATTTCACTTCAAAAACCATCAGGATGGTAAAAATTACCTATAAAAAAATATTTATATTGCATTACTAATTTCTTAAATAGTTTAGTTGACACAAAAATTGTTTGACTAATCTCCCCCCCCCCCCCGCCCCGTGACAGCTGGTACACTGAGGGATGTAGGTGTTCTAGTTCTAAGGTGTACCTTACACTGGACCTTATTTTTTATATCTATTGAAATAAATAAATGCCAAAGAAATGTATACATATAGGATTAATTGAAGCAAAAAATAACATCAATAATTTTAGATAATGCTACCCTGAGTAGTTGTCTAATGCTAATTACAATACCCCCCCCCCCCCCACCCCTCTTATCTCACCAGCTGTCTGGAGCAGCCATCTTGGGTGTTGGGATATGGATCCTGGTGGATCCAAACTTCAAGGACTACATGAAAGTCATCACTGACGGCACCAACGACACGGAGTTTCTCAAGGTGTCCGCGTACATTCTCATAGGCTTTGGGGCCTTCATCTTCCTGGTGGGATTCTGTGGCTGCTGTGGTGCCATCAGGGCCAGTAAATGCCTGCTGGGATTTGTAAGTAGGAGTTGTTGCTCTTTGTGTATATCAGGGGAAGTAAATGCCTGCTGGGATTTGTAAGTAGGAGTTGTTGTTCTTTGTGTATATCAGGGGAAGTAAATGACTGCTGGGTTTTGTGGGATTAGCCTGACAAAACTGGAATACTGAAATTATTCTTTTAATTTTAGTGGTGCTCATACTGGCGAAATTCTTTTTTGTGTTAAAAAAAAATTTATTATTGAATAGAGTTAGGGTTACGTTTAAGGTTAGACTTAGAGCTATGGTTTGAATTAGGTTTAAAATCAATATTTGAGTTTTTTAAAACACAAAAAAATACCAGAAATGTGTAAATAAGAGTTATTACATACATACATATATATATATATATATATATATATATATATATATATTTATATATATATATATGTATGTATATGTATGTGTATATATATATCTATATACCAAAAGAAGAAGGGAGGTAAATCTCTATTGAGTTTTGCAAGATTCAAATTATTATTAATTGCGATTGTATCAGGGGATGTAAATCTGCTATTTTTTGTATGTAGGAGTAGTTTTTCTTTGATTGTTGATGTTTTAGGTTTGAAAATAAAAGTAGTTTTTTTTGTTCATTGTTAAATTTTATTTTTTAGTACATTTTTTTCCAGGTGGCTGTGTTAGTTAAATGTTATAAAATCTGATGCACCATAATGAAATCAACCACTACACTATTTCAGTACATTTTCTTCCTGGTGGTTGTGTTAGTGAAATGTTATAAAATCTAATGCACCATAATGAAATCAACCACTACACTATTTCAGTACATTTTCTTCCTGGTGGTTGTCTTTGCTGGAGAGCTTGCAGCTGGTATCTATGTGGCTGTCTTCAGAAATGATGTAAGTGTCTCTAAATGTTATCTTTTTTTTTTCAAGAATTTAAAATGCTATGTTTTAAATTAATTAGAATTATCTTTTTTTCAAGAATTTAAAATGCTATGTTGTAAATTAATTAGAATTATCTTTTTTTCAAAAATTTAAAATGCTGTTTTAAATTAATTAGAATTAATTTTTTTAAAGAATTTAAAATGCTGTTTTAAATTAATTAAAAAATATATTTTTTTCAAAAATTTAACATATATTTTCAATGAATTTGAATCTTGCAACTACTGTATTAATTTTGTAGCGTAAGACTTTTTAAAAGATCACATTACTGGTTCAAAGTAATTTTTTTTAAATAAAAAAATGTGTGTAAATACAAGTTTAACCATGACTTTAACAGATTGACAACAAGCTTAAAACTGGCCTCAAGACCTCCATTGAGAAGAATTACATCGACAAAATGAAACAAACCTGGGACTCCTTACAAAAAGAGGTTTCCTTTTTTTCCTTCTTTTATTTATGACACAGTTGAACTATACCTGATGTAATTTGTATATGCAAAAATTCAGGAGATTTTAATTTTTTTTTAAATTATTTTTGGGTTAGCTGTTTTTCACTGCACATTTAATTTACTCTCAAAAAGACCATTGATGCTGTTATGTTTCCATGTGTGGGATAGAAGATAAATCGATGACATGCACTTACAGTTTGACCAATTCTGTGTAAGAGTTGAAGGTTTGTGTTTAACAAGAGATTTCACTTTTCCCTCAGCTCAAATGCTGTGGAGGCAACAACTACACAGATTACGAGAACAGTACCTGGAGACAGAACCAGACTGCGGTGAGTGGTGCATGAGATTTTCTACGTGTACAGTACTGTACTTGTGTACAGGAGTGTACTTGTGTATAGGAATCTACTTGTGTACATGAGATTTTCTACATATACAGGACTGTACTTGTGTATAGGAATCTACTTGTGTACATGAGATTTTCTACGTGTACAGGACTGTACTTGTGTACAGGAGTGTACATGTGTATAGGAATCTACTTGTGTACATGAGATTTTCTACATATACAGGACTGTACTTGTGTATAGGAATCTACTTGTGTACATGAGATTTTCTACATATACAGGACTACCTGTGTGTAGGAATCTGCTTGTGTATATGAGATTTTCTACGTGTACAGGAGTGTACTTGTGTACAGGAGTGTAGTTGTGTACATGACTGTACTTGTGTACAGGAATCTACTTGTGTACAGGAGTGTACATGACTTGACTGGCACAGCTTAAATAAAATCCCAAATGTCAACTTTAGCCCAGGAAAATAACCTGAAAAAAATATGTTTCCTCCTGATGTATGTAAAATATACATTCCCACCACTAAGTACAAAAAGACTACCACATTGTAAAAAGGAACACTTGGTGTTATTTTCTCAGTAATTGACTTTAATAACTATTTTTTATTATTGTATGTTATTAAGCAAAACTAATAAATGGGAATAGAAGGTTACTTAAATCTTTATTTTAGCAAGTCTTGCATTCAATTAACATATGGTTTTTACATTAATACATACAATATGGGTATCTAATTAAAATATAAAAAGTTCAGTTTTATTTTCATCAGAAGTTCTTTAATTTTAAAATATACCTAAAAACATATTAGACCTACCGATTACATGAGATTTATAAAAATACAGAATCAAGCAGATATCTCAGTAAAGGTGCCCTGTCAAAACAGCCCGGGACAAATCGGCCCCGTCAAAACGGCCCCGTTAATATGACCCCGTCAAATCAACCTCCAACAAAACGTCCCCGTCAAAGGGCCCCGTCTTATTGGCTCCAGTCAAATGGGCTCCCGTTATATTGACTCGCGACATATAGGCTCCCGACAAATGAGCTCCTGACATTTAGGCTCCCGACAATTGGACTCTTGACATATTGGCTCCCAACAAATAGGCTCAGGACATACTGGCTCCCGACAAAGTGGCTCCTGACTTATTGGCTCCTGACATAAGGGTCCTTTTGTCTGGAGCCTAATTGACAGGAGCCTTTTGTCGTGAGCCAAAATGACGCTAGCCTATTTGTCGGGAGTCGTAATGACGGGGGCCGTTTTGTGGAAAAACTAAATGACGGGAGCCTATATGTCGGGAGCCAAAATGACGGGAACCTACTTGTCAGGAGCCTTATTGACTGGAGCCCTTTTGTCGGGAGCCTTTATAACGGGAGCCTATTTGTCGGGAGCCTAAATGACGGGAGCCTATTTATCGGGAGCCTTTATGACGGGGTCCATATGTCGCTGGCCATTTTGACGGGGTCAATCTGACGGGGCTCTTATGTCGGGGTTGTTTTGTTGGGGCCGTTTTGTTATTGGCCGTTTTGTCATTGGCCGTTTTGACGCCGCACACTCAGTAAAGTGGGTCACCAGGGGAGACAATCTTTTATCACTGAGAATTGTATTTTTTTATGTAATGGAAAAAAATATAAAACTAACACTAACAATATTCTAAAACCAACTGTTCCCATGCAAGCACACAGACTGTGAAGAGAAATGGCCAAGGGTTACTGGACACAGTGAAGACTGCTCATCTTTTTTTTTTTTAAAGACTGACTGAAGAATTTTATAAATGAAATACAGGGAGGGATTTAAAGACTAACAAATACAGGAATTTAAAGACTGAATTTATAAATTATATACAGGGATTTAAAGACTGACTTTGAAGAAATGTATAAATGAAAGGGATTTTAACTGAGATTCATAACATGCAGTCATCTCCCACAACACTCGGATAATTTTCATGTCCTTGACCGTAAATCGATGTATCAGGTGTTTATTGTCCAGTTGGTCTCTACCTCACTGACTGTAAGGTTTAAAAGGGTATTTTAATGCATACATTGTAAAAAAAATTTGTTATACTGGAGGCATTCAGTAATTTATGTCTCCATGTGTGAAGGATCCACTGGATGTTAAATATTTCTAGCAGATGCAACTGAAAGTTCTGTATTGAAAATGTCAACATGGGAATTTTTGTGATATCTGAAGCGAGAAATAAATGCATGAAATTTGTTTTATAGTTATTGGTTTAAAATAAAGAAATGTTCACCATTTGTGTGTTCCAGAATGTGAAGGTTCCCATAAGCTGCTGTGTTCTTGAAAATGGAAAACCTAAAGATGAAACTAAATGCCAAGAACTTGAGGCTGACTACTATGACAAGGTTTGTAGCTGTTTTATGGTCAAGGTTCTATAACAAGGTTTTTAGCTGAGTTTTGTGTTTTGGGGACTGGACTAGATTTTCATCTGTGAAATAAGTTAGCAATTAAAATACAATCAGCTTCTCCAAGTAGAAATTCTAAAATTAAATCATGTCCTTTTTTTGTAAATTATTTCTTTTTTATTTTATGGTGTTTTTGGAAATTCATTTTGAATCAATATAAAAACTACGATTTATAAAAGAATTTATTTGAACATTATGTTGCATCATAAGATTGTTATCTGTTACAAAACGTTTTCAAATTATTTTTTTCTTAAAGAATGCTAATTCATGTCTTTATGAAAACTCTATTGATCTCAGGGCTGTCGTGGTGCTTTGCTTGACTGGGTCAACAGTCACAGTTCCATCCTGATTGGTGTTGGCTGCGGCATTGCTGGACTTCAGGTCAGTTTTTAATTAGCCTCAGGCTGTAGCGTCACTAGGTCGGGTGTCACCCAGTGCGGTAACTGAAGATGTCACCCCACCACACTCCATCAATTTAGAATTTTTGGTGTGGTGTCACCCCTCCCCTACTACTTTATAAATTTAAGTAGGTAAAATAGTCAGTTTTAAATTAGTCTCAAAATTTTCTTTGATCGTGACTTTTTAAAATTAAAAAAGAAACAGTCCCAAATACAGTTTCTAATGCATGAGCGAATAATAATTCTTAATTTCTACGTTAACTTTTTGTTTATCTGATAGTGTGATGTTGTTTGTGGGTGCTATGTTTTTTAATCCAAAATTGTGAAACAATTTCAGTATTTTTTCCCCAACCACACCATTCCATCACCCATACATACCATACCAAAACAGGAGCTTTATACAAAAACATTTATATTATCTTTTTATTTGTAACTAATTGTTATAATTGTTTTATCTCATCAAATTTTACAAACATTTTTCTCTGTTCTAGATCATTGGACTCATTGCTGCCATTTGCTTCTGCCGCCACATCGACAGAGACAAGTATGAGCGCAGTTAAACAGGATGTAAAGACCTTTTGTTTGCCTTTATTTAGCAGTGATGCCTTTTGGAACTCTTTTGTCATGTAGAGGTTAAAGGTTAAATTCAGCTCTGGTAATGGAAGAAATGACATGTGCTGGTGCTTTTCATTTTGTTGACATGGTGAACATGGCATTTTCTTGTCATTTGATTTTTGTTAACTAAATATACTGGGTTTTTTTTAGATTTTAAAAAACTTACATGTTTTATTCCTTATCTTGTAAGATGTTTTTGTAACCGAATTATAAATTTTAAGTTTAGACATTGAAAAAATATTTTGTGTGATTTTTGAGTCTCATAAAAGGCTGAAATTTGAAAGGATGAAATTTTAAAATGATTAAATTTTAACACAATGAAATATGTAATGCCCGTAGCACAATGATCTTCCTATACGTTGCCTACTTACCAAATTTTGGAACAACGTAACATCACTCTCTATTTAAACTTGGGTAAACAATCTGCAACTTTACAGTTTGATGAAAATTTTGTGGCATCTAAAAATTGTAACATACTGATTTCATTATATATCTGTTTTTTTCCATTATTTTTTAATAAATATTTTAGCAATATATTATATACATATATATATATAATTATGCTGTCTGTATATATAAAGTTGACTATCGTTAAAAGATTTGTATTGTATCTGATTTAAATAATCAAACTTAGTTTGCATGAATCTCAGAAGTTTTCTCACAATACTCCTGGTTGACCAGAGATTAATTTTTGTCTTTAAGCCTAGAACATTACTGTTGATGTGACCACTCAAAACAGAAAGTGAATAGTTCTAAATGCTACAGGTTTTGCCAGTGAATAGTTTTAAATGCTGCAGGCTCCACCAGCGCTGTTTTAGTGTTGTTTTGTGAACTCACTAATATGTGGCTATCTGAAACTTCAAAACACAACTTTCATGAGCTCAGATTTTTTTTTTTCTAACTTCCATGTCAGGGTTGGTAAATGAGATTAATGCAGTGTTATTAATCAAATCTTAAGTCAAAAATATATCTCAGCGCTTTAAAATAAAACATAAGTATATTTTAAATTAATCTGAATCAGATTCTTGTTAAATTTGTTCTGTAATAAGTTATAAGCCTTATATCTATACATATAATTTTTTAGAAGGAAAACAAATAGTTCTGGATATTTTATTATAGAAATATTCATATATTTATTACTGTTTCTCGGTGATAAAGTTTTAATTAAGTGCTTAGCTTACATGTTATTTATGTAGTCATCTGTTTAAGCTGTTCCAATATATGCCAAGTCATTGTTTAAATATCTGTGGTCAGTTTTTCATGTATAGTTTATATAATACTCTATTATGTGAATATACAAAACTTAATAAGATCAATTGGCTTTAATTATAACTAAGTTTTAAAACCTTTTTATTTAACTCCTAAGATCTTTGATGGGAAGTTATCTCTACTTAAAACTTATGCTGAATTTTTTCTAGCTTTTTTAAACTTAACTGTTAACACTTATAGTTAGCTATTAAAATGCTCAGTAGTATTCAGAGCATTCTAAGATTTAAATTTGAAGTTTACTTTGTGAATTAAAAAGTATTAGCCTACACAAGAAAAAAAATTCAGAAACCAAAAAAACTAATTTTAAATAGTATTTCTACTTTTTGCAAAAAAAAAAAAAAAAAAATTGTCTTACTTAAAATGCAATTATTTAATAATACTAAAAGGCTTTAAATTTTAAAAAAAACTTTTTATTGTTTTTGTATACATTTAAAAGAAATTTTGAACTTAATTTTCTAACTTTTCTATTGCAATTATTTAAATCTATTTTTTAAATAAATTTTACCTTTGTAATTCTAAGCATTCAGGTGGTGGCATGTTTTTAGAGCTGTTTATCTGGCCATTGTTTTCATGTACTTTAAATCTCTATCTTTATTATGTTGGAGTTATCTGTATACTACTTTATTCTTAAGCAGTCATCAGAAAGTATTATTAGTGTACTGTATAAACTGTTTACATGTGCAATTCTAATGTGCTCTGTATGATGTTAAAATTGTATTATGTAAAACTAGTCTTTTTTCTTTTTTTTAAATGTTTCTTTTTTTTTACCTTGAACATATTTTTGTGATACTTTAGCTGACTTAAGCTACAGATTTAGTCAAAAGTTTTAAATCATAAACCTGTCTCAGTTAAATTAAAGACAACCTGCGCGGTTTTAACCTCTTGCTCACATCACCATCCAGTGTTTGGCTAATCTCTTCTGTAGATGTGGACACGTTGCATGCAGCCTCCATGTTAAGTTGGTCAACCTTTCTCTCTGACTTATAAAGTAAACAGAAAACATTTGTACATAAATATTTGAAATTTTAAAAGATATGCCTTATTTTTTAAAGTAGCAGTTTTACAGGAACCCTACTTTTTATGGGCTTGCATAATATGTCATGCTTTTGTACAACTCAGGGCAAGTATAAAGCCATACAGTTATTTTGTAGAAGACAGGAGCCAAAAAAAGTGAAATTTTCTAATTAAACAGCACTATATAAATGAACAAATGTGTAATAAGATCAATAAAATGCTTCAATAACTTAGGTATGTATTGTGCTTACATTTTTTTAATATGCAGTTTTATACTATTACTTTTTCTTTAGCTTTAAAGCATATTACAACTATATTGCCTAATTGATAAACATAGCTTCATGAATATGGTTGTTACCGATGAAAAAATCTATACACCAAGAATTTAATTTAGAATTTTTTTTATGCAATTGTATGAAGTCTTCTTTAAATGCTTTCACATGCTTTGGGGGGAGGGGGGGGGGTAAATTTGAGGCTGCATTTTATTAGTTATTTTGCATTTTTTAAACACAGAAATAATGTAAAAATTAATGAACACACTTAATGATAACCAAGGTCAGTTAATATTTTAGATAATAACAAATAATGAGTTTTAAAAACTACAAACTTCAAGTTTGAGAGGGGTGTAGGCTTAGGTGTGTAGTCTGAAATGTATTGCCATTTTGGGGGTGGGTGGTAAAAATCTTTAAAAAATTTTGTGACAACATGTATGGATGACCCGTTATTGCAAATTTAGTTACATAATATTCTAATGAATAATAGAACTTTAAAAGGACCTTTCCAAATTTGATTATATTGTAGGTCTACTAAGGTCTTGTTGGAATTATTTTTATCAAATGAAAATTTAATATTTAATTAATAATGTAGGTGCAATTTTTTTTTTTGATTAATTAAAATTCTCCAGGCAGATTGGTCTACCTTTGCAAATATTGTTTAACAACTTTTTCCTAACATTTGATGTGGTTTGGCTAAATAAAAAGTCTGTGTCCATAATGGTGTTTTGTTACTATATTGATTGATTTTAAATAATAACAAGAAAATGTAACTATTGTAGTTTAGTCAAGAAAAAGAACTATCCTTTTTATATTGTAGGAATTATACATCCAATCTGGTGTTAATTTAAGTAAGTTATACCTTTAATATAAATCTTCTAGTGTCTAGGTGCTTGATGACTGATAGTACTTTGTTTAAAAATGGAAAATCTTCTGCAAACTTTACTAAATTTGATGCAATTTGTTTGTAGACAAGATAATTTAACGTAGGTGAAAACATGAAGTGTTGGTCAATGACAGTTGGTTGTCTATTTACTAGTATTGAGTTTAGTCAGTATATAGTCACTCGTGCAGGGCCTTTATTAGTGCTTGCTATTGAATAGAAGGTATCTATTTAGAGTGTAACTAGAATCTGCTTGTCATGATACATAACGTAGGAGCAGAGTTTCTTCCAGGCATCTCTTGGGGGGGGGGGGGGGGGGGGCAAAGCCCTCCCGAAATTTTTTTAGCGCCCCCCCCCCCCCCCCGAACGAAATGAAATTTATATGGAAAATATATACTTTTAACAGTGTCCGCCCCCCCCCCCCCCCCCGAAGAAAGTCTACCGCCCCACCCCCACCCCCCCCCACCCCCCGGAAAAAAAAGTCTGGAAGAAACACTGCATAGGAGCCTGTATGGGTAACGTAGGTCCTCAACTGCCCAGTAGAACAAAGCAATCATCAAGTCTAAAAGTGTACTTTGTACAATGATTCAAACCTAAATGAATAGATTAGCTTTATCTGACAGCAAGGAAATAATCCAGTTGAATCTCATCCGCATCAACTATATGTAAGGTACGCATTAAACGCCCTCCACACAATCTAGGAGTCAAGAACACTGTCTACATTATCTAAGATACTAGATCTACTATTTAACAGCAATGTGAAATCTGTTCTCCTCTTTGATTCTGATTCGTGGAGAGCAACAGAGACTAATCAGTGTTTCTTTCAGACTTTTTCTATATAAATTCCATTTCGTTCGGGTGAAAGGGAGGCTACCCCCTCGAAGAAATGCATGGAAGAAACTCTGACAATGATAAAAAAAAAAAACTTAAGAATTTCGTATAAAGATTCTCGTGTCGCTTAGAGAATATCAACTGGCATGAGAAAATAACCAACACCTCCAACTTGGAGGAATCGCCCAAAACCGACAAAAAGATATCCACAGGAGATACACAGGAATGATGTTGTTGATGATGATCTGTTAAATAAAATTAAACTGTTCATTTGCAAAGCATAGCGGCGGTTAAGGTAGTTTAATGAAGTCATGGATCCCACCCTTAACGACTGCAGCCGAGTCGGCAACCATCTCTATCGACCAATCGGACGAAGAAAGACCTGACCTCTCTGACACCCAGTCCGGACCCGTTTAAAATGCTGGAAAATGTTGGATAAAAAATTCGTTTTCAATTACATTATGCGTTTCAGGTTATATTTGAAGTTGTTGTGATTTTGGTTTCAGTTTAGAGAAAAAGCCAACACTATCTGCCTAGCGCCCCCTCAACGGACCATTTATCTAGTGTAATCAACAGTTTTCATACCTTTTACGGCAGCTAGCTCTGAAAATACCAGGAAAATAAAAGATTCATAGAAGGCAAGCAGTGACACATCCCTGTGACGTCAACTGTAATAAACGTGACTGAGAGTTTTTGTTGATCAACGATCCCACAACAATAGGCCTAGAACTACCGGTTGGCCAAACCCCGAAACTATAATGACGGTGGAGGGTGGGGGGGGGGGGAGATGCACAATGCAGCAGGACTGCAAATGTGTGTGCGCGTATCTTTATATATATATATATATATATTTATATATATATATATATATATATATATATATATATATATATATATATATATATATATATATATATATATATTTATATGGTGCCCTGTCAAAACGGCCCGGGACAAATCGGCCCCGTCAAAACGGCCCCGTTAATACGACCCCGTCAAATCGACTCCCGACAAACCGACCCCGTCAAAATAGCCCCGTCAAAAGGGCCCCGACTTATTGGCTCCCGTCAAATGGGCTCCCGTCATATTGACTTGCGACATATAGGCTCCCGACAAATGGGCTCCCGATATTTAGGCTCCCGACAAATGGACTCCCGACATATTAACCCCTGACAAATAGGCTCAGGACATATTGGCTCCCGACAAAGCGGCTCCCGACATATTGGCTCCCGACATAAGGGCTAAAGACAAATGGGCTCCCGGCAAATGGGCTCACGACATTTTGGCTACCGACAAATGGGCTCCCGACATATTGGCTCCCGGCAATTGGGCTCCCGACATATAGGCTTTTGACAAAATGACTCCCGACATATTGGCTCCAGAAAAAATGAATGATATGACCACTATTGGCATAAAAGTAACCATTGTGTCCTACCTCCAATACCACCATAACCTCTTTTTAATGCCCGAATGAAATTATTTTTTCATGAACCAACATTAATTCACAAACAAATCGAGCCCTAAACAGCTAAATTCTACCAATTCTAAAGTTTTGATAATGTTTAATTTACAACAGAAAAGATCTGTTGCTTAAAAGCGTGCACAGAAGTGTAAATGTATGATATACATGATGTTAACATGATAACAGCATTTTGTTTTGATAACCTACAAGCACAGTGGCGTAGCGAGGTCGGGTGTGACCCGGTGCGGCACTTAATGGTGTCACCCCCCCAGAGGCGTTGCGACCCTTCCCGGGGACAAACTTTCAAGTTTTCGATTTGCACCCCCCCCCCCCCAAACTTTCGATTTGCACCCCCACCCCCTCAACTTTTTCTCTATATATTTTGCTATTTTTTGCCTTTGTGTCACCCCCCTAAATGGTGTCACCCGGTGCGGTCCGCACCCCCGCCCCCCCCCCTCGCTACGCCCCTGTACAAGCATATTGCAGTTAGGAAGGTACAGCGTGGACCCTTCTCCCCACACAATGAGTTGGAACAGCCTATAACCGACTCAATTATGGATGTCATAGATAGATGACCCTTAAATTAAAACATACTATATTTTATAATAGATAAACTAATATAAAAATAAGGCCTGCCGAACAAGAGATGCATACGTTGTATTACATAAGAGTGTTGGATAAGCTAACTCTAAAGAATATTGATGAAGGGGTCCCACTGGCAGATGTCATATTCAATGAGACCGCTTTGCCGGGAGACTTAGTCTCTACAGAAACGGTATTGTCAGTGCAATGGCGTAGCTAGGATTTTTGGGCCCCTATGCAAAAATTATCAGTGGGCCCCTTCGTCAGCCGTTAGGCCAGTGGCGTCGCTAGGTCGGGTGCGGCACTTCGTATTGTCACCCCCTCCCTGGAAACAAAGCATATATATATATATATATATATATATATATATATATATATATATATATATATATATATATATATATATATATATATATATATGTGTGTGTGTGTGTGTGTGTGTGTCGGCCTAAAATTTATATATGTGCCACATACTGGTACACGTACGTGTTCAAGCTTTAATCACTGCTGACTTAATAGTAACGATGTTTATCTACAGTCTGTTTATAATTCAGTTATACAGTTGGATGTAGCATTGTTTTCTTTATAGTTTACGTTTACGTCGTGGTGTCACACCCCCCCCCCCCCCCCTCTTGATATAATTTTCGATTTGTACTTAGAAGACTATTTAACTTTAATTAATGGATCTGGAAAATGGCATTTCATTCTATAAATTTTACAATTTTTTGCCTTTGGTGTCACCCCCCCCCCCCCCCTAAATGGTGTCACCCGTTGCGGTCCGCACCCCCCGCCTCGCCTTCGCTACGCCTCTGCGTTAGGCTACAGAGGAGTTAAACGAAGAGATCAACTTCTACTTACGATGGATATTTTTTAATATATAAATATTCTGAAGGCAACATTTTGTATTTTATATGTCCTAATTTTGTATTTATACTATATTATTATGCTTGCCTACTACTGCTAAAAAGTTTATTTATAGGCTGATTCTCTCAATGTCTTGCACGACAAAGTGATATAGCCTGTAGTGTTATTATATCGATTGGGCTCTGTTTGACTCACAAACACTGAATCCCATTGCCGAACCCCCCCCCCCCCCCCCCCAGTGGGGGGGGGGGGGGCTTTTTGGAACTTTTAACCTTTTTCTTTTTTAAAATTATTTATATGTAACAAATATTAAAATTCCATTGTAAAAGTTTTAATTTTTTATGAGGGAAAAGGGCCCCTATGTGCCTTGGGCCCCCATGCCTTGCTTACGCTAGCTTTACGGTAGCTACGCCACTGTGTCAGTGGTCCTTTTGTCTGGAGCCAAATTGACAGGAGCCTTTTTGTCGGGAGCCAAAATGACGCTAGCCTATTTGTCGGGAGTCGTAATGACGGGGGCCGTTTTGTGGAGAAACTAAATGGCGGGAGCCTCTTTGTCGGTAGTCGTAATGACGGGGGCCGTTTTGTGGAAAAAACTAAATGACGGGAGACTATATGTCGGGAGCCAAAATGACGGGAGCCTATTTGTCAGGAGCCTTATTGACTGGAGCCCTTTTGTCGGGAGCCTATATAACGGGAGCCTATTTGTCGGTAGCCTAAATGACGGGAGCCTATTTGTCGGGAGCCTATATGACGGGGTCCATATGTCGCTGGCCCTTTTGACGGGGCCGATTTGACGGGGTCGTTTTGACGGGGTCGTTTTGTCGGGGTCGTTTTGACGGGGCCGTTTCGTCATTGGCCGAATTGACGCAGCACGATTTATATATATATATATATATATATATATATATATATATATATATATATATATATATATATATATATATATATATATTTATATATACATATATACATATATACATATATATATATATATATATATGTTACGGTCAAAGCCCGAAGTCGGCCAATGCTAGGATTGGCCGGCCAATCCGCGCATTGGCCAATATCGCCTCCCATAGGTCGGTCAAAGTCCGAAACTTTGCTTGATTTCGGCCTTTGGCCGGCCAATCCGCAGACTGGCCATGGTGGACCGGCCAAAGTCTGAAATAGTTCTTCATTTCGGCCTTTGGCCGGCCAGTCCGCGGACTGGCCATGGTGGACCGGCCAAAGTCTTAATTAGAAGATCATCTGGCTAGGGACGACTGGCCAATGTCCGAATTAGAAGATCATGAGCAGATTTTGGTTTTTTTTTTATGCCGTAAGGATCATGAAATTAAGTCTTTATTGATTGTTAATTAAAGTAAATGACAGAAACATTCAATTTTTTTATTGTACTAAAGTCTCAATCTATCAATATCATCATTTGTTACAACAAGTTGAACTTTTATGGCATTTAGAATTACATAGCAGCTTGTTTTTTTTACACTTGCAGCGATTTGTTGTGCACTTAGTTGTGCAATAGCAGCGAGTGTAGCCTTGGCCCCCCAGTCAATGATTGTGAAGATGCGATGGTTCGTAGTGATTTTTCCTCAGTGCCAACTGACGACAATAAGAGCAGTTTTTCGTGAAGAATTGAAAACTCACTTCTAGCATACAGTTGTTTTAGAACACCATGTTCCGTTCATAATTTGTAGAAACCGCCCTCGCCGCTCATGACAACTGCAATGACGCTTCTGGGATCACCGCGACCTCTGTCAACATCTGGAACACGGATGCGTACATTGTCACCCACTTCACCATCTTTAAATTTTGTATTTGATGTTTTAAGCATCTTAGCACCTTGAGTTTGCAAGCCAGTATGAGCTGCTGATCTGTATTCCATGATGTCTTGTTTGTTGTGACACAATCAGCAGGTAATATTTCCTCCGTACCCTTCGTCTGCTTCATTGGGTATTCCACAAATAGCATGGACATCGTTGCCACAGGATCCAAAAGAATGAGCTGCACTACAATGTTTTTCACAAACTATATAGAATCTGTTGGTCACATTATTGTCACGCAACTGGTCTGGACGTTCCGCCACGGCAGCAGATGTGTTAGCTGAGGATGTCGTTGCATTTATGACAACCTCTATTTCTTGTTCAATGTTCTCAAGATCTTCCTCAGTAACTATTTTATCGAGAGCCCATATATGGAAACTAACATGGATTTACATTTTTTTTCTTTTGACAGCCATCTGCTATGTCTGTCTCATGATCTGACGGCCCTTTTGATCCATGTCGCCTTGCATATAGAATGCTATACAAACAAGAGCTAAACAATACGTTACTCTCAATGAAAACGCACCCAGAATAATGAAAACGCGATCACACCTCAGTCTAGATAGAACATTGGCCAGGACATCCCGGCCAGTGCGCGCATTGGCCGGCCAATGTACAAAATACGCTCTTAGTGCTTAGTTCTTCGGGCTTTGGCCAAGAGAGCCGGCCAATGCGCGGATTGGCCGGCCAATCCGCGCTTTGGCCGCACTTCGGGCTTTGACCGTAACATATATATATATATATATATATATATATATATATATATATATATATATATATATATATATATATATATATATATATATATATATTTATATATATATATATATATATATATATATATATATATATATATATATATATATATATATAATGTATATATATATATATATATATATATATATATATATATATATATATATATATATATATGTATATACATTATATAAATGCTTATATATATATTGGGGGGGGGGGGAATGCACAATGCTGCAGGACTGCAAATGTGTGTGCGCGAGTCTATATATATATATATATATATATATATATATATATATATATATATAGTCTATATATATATATATATATATATATATATATATATATATATATATATATATATATATATATATATATATGTATGTATATACATTATTTAAATGTTTATATATATATATATATATATATATATATATATATATATATATATATATATATATATATATATATATATATATATATATATAAGGGATCGTCCATAAATCACGTCACACTCGTAGAGGGGAGGGGGGTCCGTAATTTTGTGACGGTGTGTGATGATGGGGAGGGTGGGGGGGGGGGGAGGTCAGATGGTGCGACGTCACACTTTTGCATTATAAATAAGCAATGTTAGAAAACTAATTTTAGACGTTATTTCGCGTTCTAGAAAACTGTTTTAATAAATTTTAATAGGAATTGATTAAAATACTCTATTTTGACAGAGTTCAGACAAGATATTGGAAAAATAACGAAGTTTAAAAAAAAATTCAACTGCAATTTTGAGGGGGGGGGTGGTGGTGTAGGCTGAGGTGTGACGTTATTTTAGGGGGGGGGGGGCTGGCTTTTTGTGACGATGTATGACGGGGGGGGGGAGGGGATGTAAAAATCGTCCAAAAAATCGTGACGTCATTTATGGATTACCCCTATCCACGTTTGAAACTGTAAACACAAATCATTGAATGAACTCTATAAACTTTAACATAGTTTTAATATTTATTTATTTAAATAAAAGAATATTCGACGTAATGTCAGTTTCGTCACGTAGGACTAAACATGAGAAGGACCTCTAGATTCATTCTAATTGGACGGGATTCCGGTAAGCTGCACGTTTTGGTAACCAATGAAATTGCTGCAACTCCGCCCACAAGCATGACGCGCCACTGTAACTCTATAAAAGATCGCGCTCTGTATTTTCAGGCCAAAAAAATGGACAACAAAACACTGAACGACACTATAAAAATAATTGATCTACTGATCAGCATTCGTGATTCAGTGATATATATTAAACGTTATTTTCGATTTCGTAACTATTTTTTTATTTTACCCATGCTAATAATATTCGTTTTTTTGTATTTTTTAAAAATGTATATTTATGATAACACTACATTTAATTTAGACCATGATTTCAATATTCGTAATATAATCCTAATTGTTTGGGAAAATGTTATAAGTATTCTAACATTTATCTCGATGATCTTAAATATATTAATAAGGTTAACTAACTGATTTCTTAAAATTTAAGTTGTAGTATGCCTACATTAATTATCCTGTATTTAAAAAAAAAAAATTCTAGACTATATGATATTTTGGTTGGAAACTGTTAACTTTTGTTTGGTTTAAACTCGGAAAGGTAGATTGATTAGGAAATGGGGTATAGGGGGCTCTAGAATGGGGTAGCACCTGTAATGTCCCTTCTATCCCCCAAATCTCTCACATGTGGCTCCAAGCGCCATACCCCGGCAAACTGCTTCAGCTAGCTGGCTAAACCATGTGAGGGGATGATATTAACAGAACTGGAAGTGCCTGCCGCGGATTCGGTGAAATGAGATGGAAACAGAAGAAGTCGGTCGGTGAAATGAGATGGAAACAGAAGAAGTCGGTCGGTGAATAGAGATGGAAACAGAAGAAGTCGGTCGGTGAAATGAGATGGAAACAGAAGAAGTTGGTCGGTAAAATGAGATGGAAACAGAAGAAGTCGGTCGGTGAAATGAGATGGAAACAGAAGAAGTTGGTCGGTGAAATGAGATGGAAACAGAAGAAGTCGGTCGGTAAAATGAGATGGAAACAGAAGAAGTCGGTCGGTAAAATGAGATGGAAACAGAAGAAGTCGGTCGGTGAAATGAGATGGAAACAGAAGAAGTTGGTCGGTGAAATGAGATGGAAACAGAAGAAGTCGGTCGGTAAAATGAGATGGAAACAGAAGAAGTCGGTCGGTAAAATGAGATGGAAACAGAAGAAGTCGGTCGGTGAAATGAGATGGAAACAGAAGAAGTCGGTCGGTGAAATGAGATGGAAACAGAAGAAGTTGGTCGGTAAAATGAGATGGAAACAGAAGAAGTCGGTCGGTAAAATGAGATGGAAACAGAAGAAGTCGGTCGGTAAAATGAGATGGAAACAGAAGAAGTTGGTCGGTAAAATGAGATGGAAACAGAAGAAGTTGGTCGGTAAAATGAGATGGAAACAGAAGAAGTCGGCCGGTAAAATGAGATGGAAACAGAAGAAGTTGGTCGGTAAAATGAGATGGAAACAGAAGAAGTTGGTCGGTAAAATGAGATGGAAACAGAAGAAGTTGGTCGGTAAAATGAGATGGAAACAGAAGAAGTTGGTCGGTAAAATGAGATGGAAACAGAAGAAGTTGGTCGGTGAAATGAGATGGAAACAGAAGAAGTTGGTCGGTGAAATGAGATGGAAACAGAAGAAGTTGGTCGGTGAAATGAGATGGAAACAGAAGAAGTTGGTCGGTAAAATGAGATGGAAACAGAAGAAGTTGGTCGGTAAAATGAGATGGAAACAGAAGAAGTTGGTCGGTGAAATGAGATGGAAACAGAAGAAGTTGGTCGGTAAAATGAGATGGAAACAGAAGAAGTTGGTCGGTAAAATGAGATGGAAACAGAAGAAGTTGGTCGGTGAAATGAGATGGAAACAGAAGAAGTTGGTCGGTGAAATGAGATGGAAACAGAAGAAGTTGGTCGGTGAAATGAGATGGAAACAGAAGAAGTTGGTCGGTGAAATGAGATGGAAACAGAAGAAGTTGGTCGGTAAAATGAGATGGAAACAGAAGAAGTTGGTCGGTGAAATGAGATGGAAACAGAAGAAGTTGGTCGGTAAAATGAGATGGAAACAGAAGAAGCCTCCACATTGATGGGTCACACACTTTACTACAGTGGATGAGAGGACGAGATGACAGACACAAACACTGTGAACTACACCATGAGCTGCCAGGCTGTTTTCATAAGATTAATTACTGTTCTTTTGAGGGCATTACCGCCATGGAGTCACATGTTACAACTTCAGACTTTGATGGTGCCGAAACAGAAGACTTCTAAGAACAGCTTTAGGACGTACTGATCTGATTTTAGAAAAAGGAAATCCTTGTGGTATACCAGGCTGGAACGCCAACATAGCGAGGATGCATACAGTAGCTGAGCTAGAAAACAAGTGTAGTAAATGTTGCAACACCAAGTCAAACAAGAGAAAGATTATTTGTCAAAGATAACAACCTAAAAGTGACTAGCAAAGGGAAGGTCGTGGACGAGCGTTAGAACCAGTCAACCAGTTCAAACCCGATCACGAGCTCGGAAGATCAATATCGTATGTCGTCCTTCGCAGAACTACCACTCACATCCAAACCAGGTGGTGCGACGTGCTAGGAAGGAAGCAAAAGCTTGGCGAAGACCCACGGCCTTAACAGCTAGTAACATAGTTGAGAGAAATGCTCGTTTCTTTATCCTGGTCCGATATGCCTGGCTAATGAACATTGTTTGATCTGATAATGCCCAGAAAGAGAGAGACAGAGACAGAGACAGAGAGAGAGAGAGAAATGCTTAAAACTGTAGGACTTAAAACAACAAGAAGAATCTCATAGCAAAGCCCGAGCACTAGCATGGGATAACACACCCTGATTGACCACATCGTGGCATTGATCTACTTCAGACACAGCCTACAGTCCGCCAACACGCTGAGCTTCCCGAGAATGGACTAGGGAAGTGATCACAATAGTAACTACACTTACTTAAGCCTTCCTTTTTTCTGGGTGTGCTTCATAGCACCTGTTCGCCCAAGAAGATCTGCAGGGCAGCAAATGTTGGATTTCTGAATTTTCTTGGAATGATAACATTGGAAGAAATGGGAAAAAAAGTCCAAAACAAAAAACAAAACAGTTAACTATTATTAAAACTATTAACTATTGTGTGTCAACATGTTTAAAGCATTATGGCCAGAGGATGCTTACTTCAGCCTTTTTTTTCTGGGTGTTATTCATCGTCGCTGTTCGCCCAATAGAATCTGCAGGGCAGCAGCTTTTTTTAAATTTCGGAACCAAAAAAACGATAAACTATTCTGTGTCAACATGTTAACGCCCTACAGCGTAAAACTTCCTTCAGCCATCGATTATTTCTGAGTGCGTTTCTTACCATGTGTTAGCCCAAAAGCAGATACAAGCCAACAAGTGTTAAAATTCGGAGGTTTCTCTTATAAATGTGGTGCTGTCCCCAACTCTGTCAGTGGCATATTCGGCTCGAGCACGGCTCATTAGCCAGGTATATCGCAACAGGTGAGGATTCTAGCCGTTGTCAACAAGGCCAGCTGTCGGACCCCGGGGTTTTCAACATACTTTCTTCTCCCCAGGTGCATCGCACCACTTGGTTAGGGTGTGAGAGGCAAGTTCGGTCGGGGTGGATCTATGTTCTTGAGCTCCGGTTTCGAACTCGCGTTTTGCGGGTTAGCTGGTGTACGTGAATGCCCTGTTCCCACGGTTTTTTTTTAAATGTTCCGCATTTTGTTGTCCATAATTTTTCCAAGGAAATCTGTATACTTTTTTTTTTTAAATTTACTCAACCACCATTTTGATATTAAAATGTTTTGCTCCAAATCCCACAAAAATTCAACAATTCCAGTGCCCAGTAAATTGCATCCAACAAGAGTAAGTCATTTTGGTAATTTTGAAATTTTTGTGGGCACGCATTTAGACCTCAAAAAAAATTTTTAAAAAAGATTTCCTTGAAGGCGCCTGTCATTGAGTTGACAGAGGGTCCCAAGTCCCTTGAGTCGTCAGACTCTAAATTTGCCGAGGGGAGGAAATCTTTATTTTATTTACTTTGAAACTGAGATAAGAGATGTTCAGTCTTCAATGCAGAATGCTGTCCTTTACAGTTGGCCACATGACCATCCGGAAGTAAAGGTTACATGTTGTTTTTTTTTTTTAATTTTCGTTCAATTTTATTCTGAAAACTTTTTCACAGATCCATTTCTATGTGACGCACGTTGGGAAAACTGCTCACATTGACAGAAAACGACACCATATTGTTATTCGAGATTAAATAGAGATTTTTGCAGATTTTTGCAAATCTCGACGTTTTAGGGCTCTCTGAGTCGGAAAAACATAGTTTTGCAATCTTGTCCGTATGTCTGTGTGTGTATGTGTGTGTATGTGTGTGTGTGTGTGTGTGTGTGTAAACACGATAACTTGAGTACCGTTACAGCTAGGTTGATGAAATTTCATAAATAAGTATGATATCAACTTTTGAGCGATTTCCGATAACCGGAAGTGGAACTTTTTCTACTTTCAATTTTTCAAAAGCCTATAATTTGAGTAATATTTCAGATTGATAAATCAAATTTCACATGTAAGTAAAAGATCTAATTCACTGCCTTCTATCAAATTATGAGTAATTTCCGTTGTCCGGAAGTAGTAATTTACGCTATTTCCGATTTCTCAAAAAACGAAAGTGAATTTATACAGTACTATTAATATCCTGCACTATTATGCACATTTTGTTTTACATTCACTTGGTGCGCAATTCTTTATTCTACGAGATTCTATTCTATTTTTTAAAAACTTTAAATAATGAAAAATGGATTTTAAAAAATCATAAAAAACGTTTTAATAACAAGCTTTTATGTAGCCTACTAATGCACTAAAAAGTAGAAACTAAATTATAGACTACTATTTAAATAACTATAAAGAAAAGCGTGGGCCACTTTAGTATCTATTGGATACCTTTAATAATATTTAGGAAAAGACCCACTTTTTTCTTTATAGTTATTTAAATAGTAGTCTATAATTTATTTTCTACTTTTTTTGTGCATTAGTACATAAAAGCTTGTTATTAAAACGTTTTTTATGATATTTTTTTTCAGTACTTTACATGTTTTATTTACAATAGGGTTACATGACTAAAAACCATTGCGCGCCTACTGAACGCGATGTCGCAGCCATTGAACCTGATGGCGCAGCTATTGAACGTGATGACGCGTGCGGTGTGGTTGGATAAGCATGCCTACTGATTCGGTCCAAATTTTAATTAATTCATAAAAAATTAATTAGGCATCGAATTAAGTCAAATTTAGTTTCAGATTGCATTGTCTTCATGTCTTGACCCACGTGCCAAATGTGAATCGTATCGGTCAAGTAGAAGTTTCCGAATTTTCACTCCTGCGTTTCGATCTAGACTGACGACAGACAGACTGTCGAGGAAGTGAGTTAAATAAAAGCTTGTAATAAAAGCTTGTAAAAAAAATTCATTAAAAAACGTTTTAATAACAAGCTTTTATGTACTAATGCACTAAAAAGTAGAAAATAAACTATAGACTACTATTTAAATTACTATAAAGAAAAGCGTGGGTCACTTTAGTACCTATTGGATACCTTTACCAATATTTGAGAAGAGACCCACGCTTTTCTTTATAGTAATTTAAATAGTAGTCTATAATTTATTTTCTACTTTTTAGTGCATTAGTACATAAAAGCTTGTTATTAAAACGTTTTTTAATGAATTTTTTTTAGTACTTTACATGTTTTATTTACAATAGTGTTACATGACTAAAGACCATTGCGCGTCTATTGAACATGATGGCGCAGCTATTGAACCTGATGGCGCAGCTATTGAACGTGATGACGCGAGTGGTGTGGTTGGATAGACATGCCTACTAATTCGGTCCAAATTTTAATTAATTCATAAAAATTAATTAGGCATCGAATTAAGTCAAATTTAGTTTCAGATTGCATTGTCTTCATGTCTTGACCCACGTGCCAACTGTGAATCGTATCGGTCAAGTAGAACTGTCCGAATTTTCTCTCCGGCGTTTCGATCTAGACAGATAGACAGACAGACAGGAAGTGAGTTAAATAAAAGCTTGTAAAAATCATGTCTATATCCCGAGTTGCCATCCCCTGTTGTTTTATATAAGAATATTAGAGAAAGTTTAGGGGAGATGATCATTCCCGGTTTATTTTCTGTACTTTTTACACTTTAATATCTGAAGCCTTTTGAATACTTTTACCATGTTAGGCACATGAAAGGAAGTATTAAACAGCAAAAAAAAAAAAGGTTAAAACAATTTTTGTTGTCATGTAAACCCGAAAAAATCTGCGCGATTTTAATGTTTCGGTACTTATAAATCACTAAAGGTTTTTTTTTATTTATGCATTTATAGCAATCAAATTTAAACGGCTTATATTTCAGTATATATTACAACTTTTATCACGACAAATCTTAGTAAGAGCTACTGGTCAGAATTTTACAGTCTGAAAAATAGTAGCTTTTTAGTATGCACAAGTTTCAAAATTTGCATATTATTTACCATAAACTTTTTTTCTATGAAAGCCAGCGCAATTCCCTCGTGACAAAAGTTATATTTCTATATAAAGAAGAACTACCGAAAATATGATGGGCTTTGTTTAGTAAATTCAAAACTAATAGGCTTTTTGGTTTTAAAAAACTGCGAACTGAGCAAAAAGTAACAAAAAGTAGGTCACGAAAATACCATATCTGTGTAATTTGTAAAGCCGATTGTAATCTTTGAGATTTTGGAAAATATGATTATCAAATGTAGGAGAAATCCATTTTTTTCATTGAGGCCAAATACAATATGATTACGGATATGAAACTTTTCGTAGAGAACTTGTAAGATTGGAGGAAAATGATATGTTTTTAATTAATAGGGTAATAAAAAATGGTATTTTAAACACAATGATTATTTTTCTTCGTTTTAATTTTTATTTTCTTAATACAAAAATGGATAAAGTATCCAACCGTGCAAGAAACCCATCATGAAGAAAAAACAAGAATTTGGTGATTTTATAAGGAGCATATCCTCTTAAACTGTAATTACACTGTTGAATATTGAGCTGAGAACTCAGTA